CTGACCTCGTAGGTTTGGAGACCTCGGCAGACCCAAAGCAAGCTGGCCGCCTGTGAGAAGGTTCTGGGCGGCGCGCGGGCGGGCGTCTCACATTTAACAGTTGCGTACTTAGGTTGGTGTGTGTTAAATGTGCATTAGGACAAAAACGGAACACAACAGGCGTCTCATTGATTTCCTGAGCGTTATTGTTGCAGGCATAGTTCGGTAGTGAAAGTGAGTCCTTTGAATATTTGTTGAAAATTTTAAATGAACGTATTGAGGAATTGTAATTCGTTTAATGAGTGTTCGGAAACGGCAAAAAATCGGGCAGGCTGGTCGAGAGTGACGTTTAAGGTGTCCTTGGGGGCTTTAGTGGGCAATTACAGACTCCAGGCACCTCCTGCAGAATGGAAGCACTTCACCCTTTGGCCTTCTAAGGTCACACAGCCGTTTGAAGGTCAGGGTCAACTCGATTCTAATGAGATCAAGGTCATGGAGTCATGTCAGCCTCTGGAACCCAATGGGAAAGCCCACAGGCAGGGCTTTGCGGATGGACAGGAATCTCCCATTCTCCCTCCGGTCCCTCAGCTCAGGGCGGCTCCTTGCAGGTGACAGGGTCCAGCTTCGTTCTCAGGATGGTGCCGAGGATGGAGAAGCAGCCCTTGGCCCCACGGGACTCTCACAGCTGCCACAGGGGACGCAGAGAGCGTCTGTGACGCGCCCGGTCCCAGCTGTGTGCCGTCTGCACTCTGTGCATTTTAACCAAGATCTCTACGTTCTTTTCTTGTAATGGGAAAAAAACAAAAACAAAAAATCCTCTTTCTTTCATTGCTTTAGTGCCTGGCGCGGTTTGATATTTTGCAGAATAGACCTGTGATTTATGAGCCAGGCTCCTACCGTACCTTTTGGCCCTGGGAGAGGAGACGTGGTGGGAAGCGAGTGAGCAGAGGTGTGTCCGGGCCTCAGGGCTGCGTGGGCTCCCGATGTCACCCCCCCGACCCCCGCCATCGCTGTCCCTCCTGGGAAACAGCCTATGGCAAGTGTGGCCACGGGTCTGGATTGGAGGTTGACAGAACCGTGCTCATTTCTACAACAGTATTTTCAAAACAGTCTGCTTGTGATGGGGGTGGGGAGAGCGGTTTGAAGACCCCACAGTGAGGCTGGAATCGAACCCCTTGAGAGGTGGCAGAGCTCCCTTGAGGGATCCAGTCTGTGCGTCTGGCGTGGCCCAGGTGAGGACTCGGAGGCTGGCCTGGGTCGGGTCCTGCCGTCCCAAGCAGAGGAAAGGGCGGGGAGGTGCCGCCCTCAGCCCACCGGCCTGCCCCGCAGCCTCCCCTGCGCTCTGCTCCCCGGGCCGGGCCGCCTCCTACCTGACTCCCTGTCTGGGAATGTTGATTGCAGCCTGCGGAGGCTTTGCCGCTGGAATGGGGAGGATCCTGGCTGAGCCGGTGGCCGTGGTTCCGCTGCGTGGGGGACCGTCGGCTTTGCGTTGTCTCTTTGCGCCCAGGTTCTGCCTGGTTGGTTCTGGTTAGCTTTGGGTTTGACCACCTCCCTGAGCCATGGCAGGGACGGAACCAACCGCTGACCACGATGCAGCAGGAGAGTCTGGAAGGGGGTCCTGAGAGTTCGCACTCTCGGGTAACCCCACCGTGTCCCTGAGTATGTCCCCCAGCACCCCTGGCGGAACTGAGGACCATTGGTTGCATTGTACCGATGTGCACACTGCGCTTAGAAGGCGCGTGCCTCGGTCTCATGGCTCTTTTCGCAGAGCCAGGACTCGAACCCCAGCAGGCGCTGCCACGCTCAGTGATTTATTGGCGGGAGGACCGTTATGGCCCATTATGAATCTGAGCAAACTTGCCAGTCAGCTGTCAATCGCTGGGAGAGGCAGTGTCCCCCTGAGAGTGTCCAGATGCCGGGGAGTGGACAGAGGGGCCCCAGGCCCCAGCCTGACTCTGGCTTCTTCCGGCCGCCCCGCCAGTGGGTGCCCGGCCAGCGGGCCAGGGCGTGGGGGAGGCCACGCCGCCTCTTCTCCATCTGGCAGCCTCGGCTCTCAAGGAATTCCTCCTGGGGCCAAGAGCGGCCGTGCCCGTCCCCTGCCAGCTGCAAGCCAGGTGGGGATCCGGCCAGGCTCATCCGCAGGACAGGGTGTGGGGAGGAGGGCCGGGCCCGGAGTGCCAGGCACCTGGGATTGGGAGGCGGGGGGCTCCGTCCCCCTCTCCTGCCCACCCTGGGTTCCGCCCTGGCCTTGACAAGCCCCTTATCTGCCCCCCGTCCCCTGTGACTTCATGGACCCACCTAATCTGAAGGCCAGTCCTGCTGTGGAACCCTCCAGCCCCAGCGTGTGGGGAGTGAGCAGGCGCTGAGGACCCGGACCCTTGAAGGGGATGGCCGTGGGGCCTGGATTCAGCACCCCCGACTTAGGAGGCTGTCCTTGGGGTTGAGCCCCACCTGTAAAATGAGGATCGTCACCTGGTCCAGAGCTCATGGTGAGGATCGAATGAGAGAACACGCACCCAGCTCAGTGCCATGGGCCTTGTAAGTGCTCAGATATGCAACCTGCTCTGCTCTGAACACTCGGTCAGCTCTGAGAAGGGAGTCGCAGCTGGGGAGCCCCGGGGCCTCCCTGGGAGGCGGGCGGGGGGGCAGTGATGGGGCCCTGGCCCGGAGGGAAAGGCGGGGCTGGGCCCCCAGGCCCGGGCAGAGGCTTCCCGGGGAGGTGGCAGGCGCCAGGCACTCCCAGATTCCAGATTGGGGGGGAGGTGGCAGCACGGAGGCTGGGACACCTGCGGTGGGTCGGAGCCCCACTGTGCGCACCTGAGTGTGGAGGAGCCGGTGGGCGTGGCTCCAGCCCCCTGGGCGCTTCTTCCCGGCTCTGGGGGCGCTGGGAACGCAGGCCCCTGACCTTCTCCTGCCTAGTTTTCCACAGCAGAGCAATGACTCCTTTTGGGGACAAGTCCCCTCCCAGCCCCAGAGGGACCAGGAAGGGAGTTCTGGGAATAACAGCTGCTATCCCCTGGGCTGCCCCCTTGCCCCCCCGCCCACCGCCTGCCCAGAGCCCCCAGCCCAGTCCCCTGCTGAGGACCCCCCCGTGGGTGTGCTGAGGAGATGACGGGCTAAGGAGGCAGGTCCCCTCGTCCCACGCTGACGCAGGGGCTGGGGGCCTGGGGTGGCTTGTGTGCCTTGGTACTCGCTTGGGGACCTCACTGGAGGACAGTTGTCCCCCATATTCCACTCCTTCATTCGTGAATTCATTCAGCCCATTTATTAAGCACCTACTGTGTGTTGGGGCTGATATTCTCTGGACATGTGCAGCACGAAAAAGACAGACAGAGAGGCGGGCAGGACGTTTCTCTCTTGCTTCCTTTTCCACCCACCGATAAACTGGAGCCCAGGTCCTCCGCAGGGGCCTCATCCGGATTTGTCAGGCGCAGCAGTTCTGATCACGGATGGGGAACCTCACAGTGGCGGGGGGGGGGGCTCTTCTAGGCTTTCCCCCGGGGTACTGATCGGAGACCTGGGCTGGGCCAGGACCTGTATTTTTAAGGAGAAACAGACTCGAGAACCCCAGGGCCTAGGTCTTGTTGTCCAGCGATGCCCTGGTCCTGGGGCTGCGTCCCGGGTGCCACCACCCCGTGTTTCTGAGGACGGATCCCAAGCCGTGGGGCCACAGCACCGGCCTGCGGCCCTTTCCAAGCTGCTGCCACGCGCCGCGGCTCCCGGCGGCTGGGGGCCCCGCCCCTAAGGAGATAGCGAGCATTTTTGCCTCTTGCGTCACGTTGTAAACAGTGTGACTCTTCCGATTGTAAAGAGTGATCTGTGCTCCTTATTTAACCAAAATTCAAAGAATGTGATAAATGGCCAAGACAAAAGTCAAACAGGCCTGTAGTCCGGTCAGATCAGTTAACTCAGACGACCAGCTCTCCGCAAACCTGTCTGCAGGCGTTTGCTTTGAAGGCAGATAAAGGGTTGGTCCCACCCGTGGTTTGGGCGCTGGGTGCGGGCCCCCACCCTGGCCCGAGTCAGCCCCAGCAGGGCCACCTCTCTCCCCGTGGTACCCCCAGCTGCTGGGTCAGACTGGCCCCCAGCAGTGAAGGTCCCCGCAGGTTAAACAATCTGCAAAACCACAGGTCTCGTTCGAGCCTCTTTGTAGACGGGGTCCCTGAGACCCAGAGAGGGTGAGTAGGAGCCTGGGGTCACACAGCCAGCAGCCAGTCAGACGTTGAGGAGCGTGTCCCCCGCTGAGAGCAAGGGCGTCCGGGCACAGGAAGACCATGGGGTCCCTCTTGGGGACCCTCCACCCTTGTCAACCCAGAATACACAGGAGGCCTCTGAGCCAGTCATCATCAGGAAGCAGCTGACACGGAGGGAGCCCAGGTTCGCCCGGGCTCCAGAGCTCTCTGGGGGCTTCCCTTCCTGTAGTGACGGCTCAGGATTCCCCGGGTCTCCTTGGGCACAGCACGTCCAGCGTTGGCTGCGGCCCAGGCTGGATTCCAGGTGCTGGGCTGCGGCCCCGTCTCTCCATCCCAGGAGGGGCAGGTGGTGTGGGGCGGCGGCGGGGGGTGGGGGGAACACTGAGCGCCTCCCCACGGCCGCCCCTGCGCCCCGACCTTTGCGCCTGGGAGGCCAGGCGCCCCTCGTCGGGCACACAATGCCCCTTCTCACGTTCAGACTGGCGGTCTAGACGCTCACACTCTCTTTTGTTCCGGGGGGTCAGGGGTTGGGGAGCGGCCCCAGAGAGTGGGATTTGGGCCCAGGCAGGAAGAAATCTCTCCCTGAGAGAAGAAAGGGGTGGGGGTGGATGAAGGGACACCGATTTCAAAGCCGGCAGCCGGCTCTGTCTCCGCCTGCCCGGCCAGTGACCAGCCCTCCCAGCCAAACATGCCCTGATTTGTAATGACGGGGGCAGCTCCCGACAGAAATGTGCCGTGAAACCCAATCGGGTCGACGCCCACTCGGGCCTGCGCGCCCAGAGCTGCTCAGCTGACGGTGTCTAAATAAAGCCCGTGCCGCCCGTGCCCATGGGCCTGGGCCAGCGCAGCGGCCAGCTGGGCGGAGCCCGGGAAACCCTGGGCGAGGAGACACAGCCTGCCACGTCCCCCGCCCCCCTGCTCAGGGACAAGAGCCACGTCCGGTCTTCCGAAAGGGCAGGGCGGACAGAAACGTCCCCACGGTGGGCCCCCACGTGACCCCTTGTCCCCTGGCCTTTGGCATCACTGCCTGGGAGCTGGCACTGGCCAAGGAGAGACGCAGGCTCTGCACCAGGCCCGGTTCTTGACCTGTGAGGTCTGTAACCTCGGAGCCTCGGTCGCCTCCTCTGTGAAATAGGGGCATGGATAGGCACAGGAAGTCCCCGCAGGGGAGCCAGGGTGGGGGTTTCATGAGAGAATCCGCCTTCCCTGCCTGGTGGCGGATGCTGCCACTCTTTTGGTGTGGATAACCGTGACGCGGCTTAGTCTTGGGACAGGGAAGAAGCGTGCACACGCCCCCGCCCTGGTAAGTTCTGTAGAGAACACCGGCAGGAGCCGTAGCAGGTGGACTGGCTGCCTGTGAGGAGGAGGTGCGGGGGCCGCAGTGGGAGCCTGGGCAGGGGGCATGGCGGGGGGGCGGTGTCAGGCCTGGTGGGGCTCGCCTCTATCCGGGACTTGCTGTGTGGTGTGGCCTGCTGCCCGCCCCCTCTGAATGGCCTGTTTCTGCCGGAAGCTGTGCAGGGGAGGGGCCCCAGAATGGGGGTGGTTCATGGCCCTTGTCACCCCCTCAGGCCTCGGCACCTGTTGGCCCTGCCTCAGGGAAAGAGAAACAGAGCTCACCGCGGGGCCGGAGGCTTCCTGCTGAGGCAGGGGCGCGGCTGTGCCCTCGGGACCTCCGCAGCTTCCCAGTGCCTGCAGCTGACGGATCAAGGGGGGCCTTTAGGGACCGAGCTGTCAGGCTTAGAGGCCGTTGGAGTTGGCGCTGGGGTTCTGGGGAGCCCTGTGAGGGTGCGGAGCAGGGGAGGGGTCACAAGGCCCGGGTGGTACTCTGCGGGGGTGGGGTTGGAGTCAGGGAGAGTGTCAAGGGGTGGCCCGCTGGCATCCACTGCCCCGGTGATGGAGGCTAGACCGTGTGGAGCGGGAGGTGGGTTCAAGGTTATGAAGACAGAGGCTGCAGTGGGACCTGGACCGGCCGGCCTGGCCTCACGGTGCTCACAGCTGACAGGGGAAGACAGGCAGACGCAGGACCCAAAAAGGCCAGGGTCCGAGGCCACCGGGAGCCTGAGGAGAGGACGTGGACAGAGACCCCGGGTGGAGAGAGTGGCCCCCACCCCCCAGAGCCACCTGGGAGGCCCTGTGGGTCTGGGGTGAGTTTGGGGGAGCAGAACAGGACCAGGAAGGGCAGGCAGGGCAGGGTCAGGGGCTGGGAAAGGCATGCGGAGGCCGGGCCTTGCTGTGGGTGTTTGCGATGGTCCCCGATGGCGTCCTGCAGGGCACTCTTGTCCCCCCCCCCCCCCCAGGTCAGAGCCTCCTTCTAGGCCACTTCTCAAGTCAAAGACCTCACGACCTTGTTTGGGGAAGAGTTGGCAAAAAAAAATTTTGTTTGTTGGATGGGCAGAGGTTTCCCTGGGGGCTGGGCTGCGGAGGAAGCCCGAGCGCGGCCCTGAGAAAGGGCTCAGTCGCCGGTCAGTGACGCCGCCGCGGTCGCCCGAGAGTGGCAGCAGGTGCGTGTAGGAGGCCACGCGAGTGGGTTCTTCCCCGCCCCTGGCTGGGTCACCTGGGCAAGTCGCACCGTCTGGCCTGGGGGTCGGCTGCCCCTCCTGGAGTTCCAGCCTCTCGTGGTTCCGGGGCCTCAGCCCTGCCCTGGCGCGGGAACCCCGGGGGACCCCCACCTCCCAGCATTCCACCGAACCCCTCGGCCAGAGGACAGCCGTGACCTCTTCGTGCCTGGGCAAAGCCAGAGGCTCTGCCCACAGACGGCGGGGCCGTGGGAGGAGCCATTGCAGCAGCCTTTTATCAGCAGGTATGAAAAGTCAGCACAGAAACCGAGAAGGAGGGCAGGGGCCACACGAGGCCTTGGTCCTCCCACGCGGGGCCTGTAGCCTGCCCTTCCTCCGAGCGGTTTGGGTTCACTGTAACGCGGTCTCTGACAGGTCACGTCGTCGGGGTGACCTCCCCGGGGACCGGTGTGGACAGCCTCTGTCAGTGTGAGTGGCAACCCTGCCACTTCGGTTTACGGATGTTTGCACGAGTCCAGCCCTGAGCCCAGCTCCGCGTGCGTGAGCCTTCGCTGCCACCCCCTCCACGGGTGACAGCAGCCAGGCTCAGGGGTGGGGGGGAGCCTGCAGGGTGCCGCTGTGCCGGCAGCAGACCCACCGAGGCACTAAATCCTCAAGCACGGCAGCTCTTTAGGGCAGGCGGCCGGGACCTCCTTCACCGCTGGGAAACGGAGGCTCACAGCGGCGACTTGGCTTGAGCCGCCGGGAAGGGGCGGAGCTGGAGTTTGATCCGTGTCTGTCTGGCTCCGGTATCTTTGCTGCACAGCATGAGAGGGAGGGCGGGCGGGCAGGTGGCCCTCAGGACCCAAAGCTGCCTCCCACAGGTAGGCACGGGAAGGAAGGAGCAGTGTGGCCAGCACCAGGCAGAGCAGGCGGCGAAGGTCGGTGGGAAAATGACCCCTTGTTGGGCCCCTGGTGGCCGCCAGGCCTTGCTCTAGAAGTTGGCGGCCCCGAAAGGAAGAGACCAGAGACCCCCTTTGGAGGGGACCCGCTGCTGTCGGCAGCTCTGAGGGGTGGCCCCGCAAGCTCATGGGTACGTTTCCTCTTCCCTTTGACCTAGCCTGGCTGTGTAGGGGCCACGCCCTCGTGCAGGGCACGTTTGGGGTCACAGTGAGTATGTCCCAGCCCATTTTGCCGTGACCCTTTGTAAAAGCAGGGTCAGGCACCTCCTCCTGCCAAACGCGTAGCTGGAGGTGACACCAAATTCTTCCTCTCCCATTTATTTTTCTCAGTGACCCCCCAACCCCACCCCAGGCAGGTGGAGACACGTTCTCACCCCCATGCATTTTAATTTAACCCTTTTTGCACCTTTCAAAATCGAACGGCGCTACCCAGAAGCTGTCTCCCCAGGTGTTAGAAACATTTTAACAGCCGACCCCTTGGAACAAGAAGAGCAAGAATCAATCTGCCGGTCAGCCACGCACAGTCCTATTTTAAGAGAGACTTGGAGTGCAGCCCAATCAGAGGTGATCTGTTTTCTATTTCTCCAGAGCAGCCAGCCCCCTGACAACCGCCACCCCCCACCCCCGCCCGCCCCATCCACTGGCAGACCCCAAACCAGACCGATAACTTAGCATTTTCATTTAAGTCCATCTGACAAATCGTTTTCGACGGAGAGAGCAATACTGCGTCTTTAAATGGCTACTTTGTCAGCATGTCTCTGGGCGCTGTAAAAAGTCCTTTGTTATCTGTGTCTAGACAGCGCGCCAGCGGGATATTTGGTCTGTGCGAGGGAGAGAGATCTGACAAGGTTGAATTCATTTACCGGCGTATTTAAAGTAGAATTTCAAAACACTCGCTCATAAACTGCGCCCGGCCCAGACTGCCCCGGCCCCCCGGCCCGCTCCGGCCTCCTTGTTTCATCGTTTTTCGCCTGCTGGGGCAGTGGGTGCGGGTTGCTGCCCCGTGCCCTGTGCGGAGCCGATGAGGACGACCGCGGCTTGCAGCTTTTTTCTGCCTCTAATTGTCCTCTTTACGACTGTCTAGACGCCCTGCAGATGTATGTTCTCAGGGACCGGCTTCTCCCTCGGGCTCGAAGTGGGAAGGCTGCGGATACCGTGCGCCCCTCCGGCCGTTGGGCCACCCGCCCCCGCCCCCGCCCGAACGGCTCCCTTAAATTAAGTCCCCTCACCTCCTTGTAGCAGCCTTTGTGTTTATAGCACGTTGACTTGACTGTGCTAATTTTGTACAGTCACCAAGAAAAAGAGAGAGAAAGAGAGAGGGAGAGAGAGAGAGAGGGAAAGTGACACCCCAGGTTTCCTGCTCCCTGGGGGGCAGGCAGAGACCCTCTTCCTCCCTCCCCAAACTTTCCCCACTTTTTATCACTCTTTTGCAATTTTTTTTTTTTTAATGCACAGAGACCAGTAAAACACCGGAGGTTGGCTCTTTAAAGATGAAAATATTGGGGCGACCTGAATGGGTCTGAGGTTTGAGTTATTCCAAATAGATGCATCAATTAACCTCGTTGCCATAGCGACTAGGTGATGTGTTGCCAGAGTGAAAATGGGCAAGCCGTGGGGGCGGAGGGTCTCCCAGCCCCCCTCCCACCCAGTGCCTGCGGGAACTGAACCGGCAAATAGGCACTGTCTTGTCGGTGGCCAGGAAAGGGACCACTTTGGCTTCTGTACCCTGCCGTGGGAGGGGGCGTGCCCCCCAACCTCCCCTTGCGAGGCAGCCCGGAGGCCAGCGGAGTCGGGAGGCTGAGCTGCGATAGCCCCGCTCTTTGGCCATGGGATGGAGAGGTGGCTCGGGCCCTACCGGTCCCCACAGCCAGACCTTCCCTCTGCCCCCCCACCCCCAAAAGCTATTGTCATTGCTGCTGACCCAGCTGCAAAGCCATAAATTCCCACCCTCCACCCCGAAGTCACTCGTCTGCCCTCCGGGTTTTACGTGGTGGGGGGCACAAAAGGTTGGGGGGAGCTGGCGGCCCACCAGATGTCTCCTGGGATCCCTTCGCCGCATCTCGTTTCTGCCAGACCAAGCACATCCGGCACGTCGGCCTGCTTTCCTGGGGGGGTGGGGGTGGGCCAGACACTGCATCTGCACAAGATGGGAGGTGGAGGAAATGCGTCTCAAAACGCTCTGAGTTTCTTGGCCCGGTCCTTTGATTTCTCTCCCCAAAAACAGTTCAGCCCCGCCGGCTGCGCAGTCTGTTCCACCGCCCCTCCCGTTGTGCGGGGCACAGGCTTGCGACGGCTTTGTGTGGGCGCCTGGACACGGAGCTGGGGCCAGAGCTGGAGACCGGAGGCGGGGGCGGGGGGTGCGAGCCTCGCCATTGTTTCTGCCTGAAAACCTGCAGTTCCCTCGCCCTAGAAGGGGGAAGCCGGGGGACTGAGTCTGTAATATTTTCCGTTGCGCCATTGTTGAGGGGTTTCCCACCCCTCCCGCATGGCAGTAATGCCCATCTTTTAGGAGAAAATTCCTAAGTGTAATAGCTTGAGGTGTCAGCATCACCAAGTCTGAGTGGGAGCTCACCCTGGCCCAGCCCCGCCGTCCGCCCGGTCCCCGATGAGAAGGGCCCTTCAGGAGGACGGGCTCTGATCTAGTGGCGGCGCCCCAGGCGGGCGGACGTGTCTAAGCTGCAGTTGGATCTGTCTTGGAGTAACTAAAGGAAATGATGGCATGAGCCCCGGCACCAAGCCCGTGTGGCGCGGAGTGGCACAGGACCGACTGTCCCTCCAAAAGCTGGCCGTCCTTACCGCGTGAAAGAATGGGCTCTCGGCTTGAGTGTTGGGGGACTTTTTAAAAC